TCTGCAGTTTCCCAGCAGGTCCTCTGCAGCAGAGCTGAAAGGAAATATAGTATCCTAGGAGAAGATGCTGAGAGGATGTGGCTTTAGGAAGGTTAAAGTTAACTCTCTAAAGCTGGAAATGACCAGTGGGGCTGAGCCCTGACCGCTGCTAGGAATTTGCAGATCTGCAATAAGAAGCAGAGATGCTGGCACAGAACAGGAAGCATTGCAGCTTTAGCAACAGCACAGATGTTCCCATTGAAAAAAAAGTTTCTACAGGGCTTCCACAACAGCAAAGGACAAAATGGCCAGACATCAGCCAGTCTGCTCATGAACTTCTACAGCTGCTGTCCTCCTAAAAGCTGGCCAGATGAGGGAAAGCAAAGGCACTTTTGCTGTAGGTCTGATAGATCCAGTATTGCCCTCCTTCCGCTTGGCTGTCTTTCCATTTGTGGCTTCCCAAGTACCTTCAAACAAGTCCCCTCACTTCCTCTTCACCCAAAGATGAGTTCTGTATTGAGGGACCTTGACAGCCCATCACCTCTCACCTGTTACACCCCACCCCTCTTCCCATGTCCTCAGAACAATTCCTTCTCATGGACTGACTCACTCAGGGAAAGACTGACGTCACAGTCCTCACCATGGTGATGTTCTGCAAGGTGACACACAGGACTGTGACTTCAGAGAGGCAGCAGGGGTGGGGAGACCAAGGCTGGGAGATCATGTTTAACCAAAATCAAACCCTTCTCGTCTGATGCCACTTACACAAGCCCTGGACCATCTGAAATTACATCCACAGACAAACAAATTGCCATAGAACAGAAAGGTCAAGGGTGGATAGAGCATGAATGGCAACGGTATATTCTCTCCAAAGCTGATAAGGCATAGTAAGATTTTAAGAAAATTGCCAAACCACTGAAATTCCCCTATCCATAATCCTAGAGAGACAGAGATCTAGATTTAGACTGCAGAGTTAAATAGCTACACTTTGGCCATTGTGGGCAGGAGACGGGCAGTGCTAGGAGCAAAAAAAAAAAGCAGGGCGGTGGCCAAAGACACGGATATGCAGCTCTAAACAGTGCCTCCCAAGACCCTGTGAGTTGCAGAGTATGCTTTCCCTTGCAGGCCATCCCCACTGGCCAGGCATGTTTGTAGAGAACACAGTCTCTATTTGGGGAGAAACCAAGTATCTCAGGTTTCTCAAGTTTCCCTGATTTTTGCAGAGTGTGAGGGTATGCACTTCTACCTTTTGGGCTTGTGGAGGGATCCCATCTCCGGCTCCCTGCAAACTATCAACTCGGCAAGGCTGAGAGTAGCAGGCTTACCAGAAGTACAGCACCTCTCTGAGACGGAGAATCCTGGACTCCAGATTTGGCAGCCCTTGGCCTCTTATCTGAGTCTGCTAATGAGGGACTAATTAACGCTCTCTGGGGGCACACTCCAGATGGAAGGCGAAAGTGAGAGACAAGCAGCCAGACAAGCCAACATTTCAGATATCTGAGCCAGTTGGACTCTGCCCACAGAGCCTTCTGCCTGATGCTTTCCCCAGCGAGTCTCTCCTGCCCTGCAGCATCAAGCCAGGAGAACCTGAGACAGCAAAGCTCTGGTGTCCATGCAGTTCCCTCGTTGCAATGCATTGATTGGAGCTCTCTTAAAGAAAGTGGCCTGGATATCCGAGACACCTATTGATTGCTCTGTCGGCTCTCTTCCTGCCTTGATCCTCATTCACTCTGCACTGCCAGAGCAAACTTGCACTTCTGTTTTAGGGGCAGTCTCCCCAGATCTTAAAGGGCCACAGTCACAGCCATACATCTTTCTACAGCCTTCTTTCCTTTCTTTCTTGCTTGCTTGCCGTGGTAGGAGGAGAGGACATACCTGGTGACCCTCATATGCGCTCCTCAAGAGGATGGCCTGAGTCTGCTCCCACAGAACCAAGCCAAGCATTTCAGGAGTAAGGCACAGGCTTGAAATCATTGCTACCTGTTTTTGCCATCTCTAAGTATTGCTCCTCTCTTCCTAAAGAGCAAGCTTACCCCACATGCCCAGCAGGCAGCAGGTAGTACATACATCATCCTGTACAAGGACAATAGGTGGAAAAGTCTTTCCTCCCTTACTGAGAATCATAGATCATAAAGCCCTTAAGTAGGTACTAATGGAGTCTCACACTCTTCCAGAGGAAAGATAGCGTCTTTACCCAGAAACGTCTCCAATAAATTACCAGCCCAATGCCAACGACGTCATAGAGACTTGGAATGAGAGGAATCCATTTCTAGATCTCGCATTTAACTACAACACAATTCTTCCCCAAAGTTCTCACAAACAAGCAGAAGAAAAAAATTGGGTTAACAGACTTCTGCCCTGCATAAACCCAAAGAAGCAGAGAGACATAAACTGAGGTGAAAGGGGAAGTAGGAAGGGGAACTATTAAAAGGGAAAAAATCGCATCTTGAATATCAAGACACACCTCATCCTAGTGAGTGCTTGGAGACTGCAGGATTGTCTCCCTGGGGAAGCCAAGACATCAGGGACTTTTAAAAACAGTCAAACTACTAGAAATGCACAGCAGGGAACACTCCTGCCCTGGCAGAGAAAGGGGGTGGATGAGCTAATAGGATGACAGATCAGAGATGGAAGAGACCAATGAACCTTTTATAAACCAAAATCCCTTGTCAATTCTGCATTTTTGAGTAGAAAGTCAAACAATTATGGATTTGCTCTTTCCAGAAATTCCTGGCTCTGTGGAGACCAAAGACCATTACATCATTTTTTGTCCCTTTCTGGATTTTGCTTTTAAAGATGTGTATTGTTTGAATTCATACACTGATACTTTGCACACTTCCACCAAGCTTCACATAAAGTTAACTAATCGGTCTGTGCAATCCTTTTGCAAAGCAATGCAGTATGAGCCTCATTTCACAGCTGGGGACACTGTGAAAAGGAATTATAAAAAATCCTACATCACTTGACCACTCAGTGTTAGGACACAAGAGTCCTGTTCACAGATTGCTAGTGCAGGCTCCTCTGCTCCTCTTGATATTATCACGTGTTCTTAAACCCCATTATTATCAATACATTTTTATACTGTATAATCCACAGCTCTAAATGTTATGGGCAGGATCACAGATCAACTAACATCAATAGCAAACTACCCTTCACCAGTGGCTGTAATGATGCCAGATTAGTCCCTATATGAATAACAAAAGACATTTCAGCACTAAAGCAGCCTTAGAGTCAAATTTCAGACTGTGACAGGTAGTATCTCATGGGGTTCAGGTGTTCAGGCACAGCATGGTGTGAATGAACCTACACTGCTTCCCAGCCTACCTCTGCTTTGGAAAGAGTTAACAGTTTTCACGCAACATGGAGGCTAAGCCACAAAATGCTCCATCCGACCCTGCTCTGGACTTTGTCGTGCTCCTGGAATCAGTAGCACAGAGGTGCCCTGGCAGGTCACCACGCTCAGCTCTGCCTCAGGCAGACACCCCAGTGGGGCCTCCTGCGGCCCTGCTCCCCAAGCTGCCAGCTCTGAGATGCTCAACAGCTTGGATGCAGGGTAGCATGGACTTGGGGGCCAAATAGCCTGGACCCATGCTGATGCTCTGTGGAGTGACTGGATCATGCCTTCAGGGTTGTTTTATGTGATCCATATGATCAGGCTCTCCCACTACCAACCTGCACTTCCACTAAAGCCAGTGTCACTAGCATGGAATGGCACATGGGTGAAGGGATATATCCCTCCCAGAACAGAGGCAGAGAAGCAGGTTTCCAGTGGTCTCTCTCTTACTCCAAAAATAGGTACCTCCCTTCCAGCAGTAGATTAGAATGCTTTCTTTCCATCACCACTGCGCCCAGGTCAGGGAGGGCCAGACTATACCAATCTGCTTCTCCTCCCATTGGTAACTGGTGAGCTCTGGCAGGAAGAAATTTAACCATAGATACTACACATCCATCAAAGAACAGGACAGGGTTTAACATCTAATCTACATTCTTAACAACACTGGCTGCTATCAACTTGCCTCTCAAGAAATGAGAGCCCCAGTGCACAGCAATGCACACTCAGGTGACATCATGCAATTCATCACTGGCTGCTAAGATGGTGACCTAGAAGGGAGCTGTGTGCTGGCATCTTGGCTCCAGCATGCTGGACTTGCGCAGACCACAGCCAGCTGCTGTTCCTTGTAGTTAAACTGAGGCCACTGTGCTCTGCCAGGTACAGCAACGCAGAGGGTTACATGCAATGCTTCTCCTTCCTTCCCTCTCCTCCCCCTGCCTCTCCCAGAGGGACCCCAGGGAAACAAAGCTTTAAAGTCAATCCATAAGAATGTGTTTAATTGCCACTGAATTCCCTGTGGTTCACCTTGAATGGACAAGGATTAGCGGGGTGAGGGGGAAGGGAGGAAAAGCAGCACAAGAAAGAAGCTGAGCATTGCTCAGAGAAGGCTAAATAGATCAATAGACTGAATGCAACACGGTTGAGCATGCAGGGCAGAGGACCCACAGCTCCCAGATAGACCTGTGTTTCCCACCATCTTCAGAAAGTCTTCTGAGTTGAAAACTGGGCATACCTTTGCTGCACACTGTGCCATAGTGCTGCAGTAACTCCATTCTTCCCTTATGAAGTCAGGAAAACCCAGTTAGAATTGGGCAGGAGCCTCTCCTTCCCAACACTGCTAAGTGACCTGAGGAGGCAAGGACAGCTACAACCCCTGGCCTGGGGCTCCTTTAGAAAAGGAAATAGTCACTTCGGCACAGCAACTTTCCAGTTATCTGTCAAATTTGCAATTACCAGAAATAATATCCTAGCATAAGGGTGCTGACTAGAACTACCCTCCCCTATTGACTGCCCTCTTGGCAGTTTGTCACTGCCCACTCTGACTCCTTTACAAAGCCTGTAAAAAGCTGCATTGGGAAAGTCAGAGAGGGCAGGTGCGTAGCTACTCTAGGAGCTCCTGCAAGGCTTTGCCATGGCGTCCCAGGCCCTGCCGGGGCACAGAGCGATTCTGAATCCCACTCTGCCTTACCTTCTTTCAGCATCCCCACTTTGAGGCATTTCATGAAGCGGCAGGCCTGACAGGATTTGCGCCTCCGTTTCGTGATCTCACATTCATTGGTAGCCGGACAGCTGTATTCAATATTCCCTGCAATCAAACACAGAGATGGTCACCCAGGAGCTGTGTTCTCCCCCTGATCCAAGGACTGGTGGTTCCTCTGCCTGTAACGGGCAGTGCCCAGATATTCCAGCCACTAGCAGTCTGTGTAACATATGTTTGCTCAGCCATTTGCACACACGCAGAAGCTGAGAACATAGCTGGCTGGGGATGTCTCTTGGCTCACTACTTACTAGAATATATTTCAGAACAAGCAATACTGATTTTTTGTACTGGGAGAAACCTATCCAAGGGGCTGACTGCCACACTAGGCTTTCAGGCACACAGTATCTTCCAGGCCTGTCTTCACCCCTTGTGCTGCATTGCTTATAACCTGGCCCATTCCCTGCAGTCCAGGGCTGTGAGTCAGAGCAGTTTAGATACTAGCAGCATTCCCCTTGCTGCCAGTCCTGCCCTGTGTCTGCAGGATGGATGTCATTTGTCCTTTCTTGCCTTGCTTGGGGACCAGGGACCTGGGAGATGACATTTTCTCCTTCGCTTTCTCCTGCCATCTGACACAGTACAGTCAGCAGGGAACCAGTGGGTCTTGACTGAGAAAGGTGTATAGGATACCCCGGGTTGATTTTACAGGCCATCTACGCAAACTTCCTTTCCAGTTTTACTTTATTAGTCCTTGTGCACCTGCCTGTCATCTCTTAGCACACAGCATCAGCGTCTCTATCCTCGTTCCCTTTCATTTACAATCACCTCACAACACCGCCTCCCAGACACAACAAGGAGAAAAGCATCCCAAATATATTTCTGGTTACACCAAATTTAACCACAAGGCAAGAGTGTAACTGGAACATCGCAGTGTAATGCAATAATTACTTAGTCCCAGGAAAAAACAAAAAACCGAGATGGCTGCCTCCATCCTGCCATTCACTCTGAAGATGATGTTTCTGAAGAGGGTTACTCAACGTTTGCTGTGGAGCAAGGTTGGAAATTTAAGCTCGATACCTTGACAATGACAATATATTTAAGGCAGTCTGGCTACTGATTAAAACAGGCAGCTCCAAAAAGTGTTTTTGAGCTCAACAGTCAGTTCAGAAGAATGGAAAGTTTTCTTTTTCTTTTCCTTTTTTATTTTTTTGTTCAGAGTGGAAAAGTAAGATTCAAGAGTTCATTCAGAGCTGTAGGAAGGACTGTATAAGATAGCAAAGAGATCACACATTCTGGACTTTGTTTGTCATCAGGAGTTCAGAAAGGGAGCTCACAGATTAGTAGCACAGGGGCAGAACAGTCTTGACTTTTGTTCTTACTTCTGCAATGGATTTCTGTGTTCTTGTGCAAGACCTTTCACTCCTCTGCCTAAGGACCAATTTCTAACACATACCTGCCTCTGGGGGTAACAATTAGACCATGGGGCTAAATGAGCGCTTGCAAAGCCTATTGATAATCTGAGTGGAAAGACAGATAGCACAGTGAGATTCAAAAGGAAGGAAGCACCAGTTGATTTATCATACACATGGCTGGCCCCTTTTAGGTAAAATCCCAGCAGCACACAAACCCCAAACCATAAAAGGCAGTCTGCCTGCTAGGTGCAACCCTTCCACCTGCAGCCTCTTGTCTTCTCAACCCCCAACTTGCCACACAGCCACCACGTTCTTCCCCATTGCTCCTCTGCCCCCAAAATGCAGTTCCTTTGCAGGAGCAGAGAGCACTGCACAAGTTGCTTCCATTTAGACTATATTTCGTCATTGTGCAGGAACTGAATTTCAATAGCCAGCAACGTATCAAGATTCTCAGAGAGCTGGAAATTGAGATTCAGGCTTGATCTCAAGGTAATAAACTCCTGCTCTCAACACAGAACTTAAGCACGCTGCAGACCTGTGAGTACAGGTCTCTGACCTCAGGATCTGACACTTGCTGTGCCCCACACAGGAAGGAACAGAAGAGGAACATAATTGGGATGAAATTAGAACAGAGCCTTGCTTTGGATAGTTTTGCCTTTGTTTCAATACCCACCTTTCACCTGCCAAAACGAGGCCCAGAGTTCTGGAGAGCTGTAAGATTTCATGTTTTGTGGTTCCAGGACCAAAAATGTTGCCTCATAACACAGACACGCTAATACCAAGAGCAACAAACCCTTACAGTAACAGGAGGCAATGAGAGCCTCCATCAGACAGCGTGAGGTGCCTCTACACTGTGTCAGACAGACCCCCCAGCTTCCCTGTGCCTCCAGCCCAAGGCCATCCCTGACAAGCAAAGTACTGGATAAGGTCTGCAGAGCATAGACACCACAACTGAACTGTGACAGTGTCAGACTAAGTGTAGGGCAGTGTTTACACAGTGTATGTACAGCTTGAATATGCAGCAGTCACAGGCACTTCTGCACTTGGATCATGACTGTTACAGCAGCAGAGACAGAGGAGAGTGGACACTGGGCAATCTCCCCTTCCTGCGTGGCAAAGCAGTGGCCACCACGTAGTGGCCACCACAGGACAGGTGGTTAGTGGGTAAGCACAAGCAAAAAAATATACCCAGCGTTGGTGGGATGTCCCTTTCAGCATGCCTTATTGCCTTCTACACAGCCTTATGTGACCCTTCCACACACTGTGTCCAGTCAGAGCCCAGCACTGTGTCTTATAGCCCTTTTATAGGTGCAAATTCTAGCAGTGAGGGCCACTGCACCCTCTTCACAGTAAATCATCCCAAGATAACGCTGCCAAAGTAAATGGAATTTTACATCAGGCCCCAAATGTGCTTTAGATGGCATGGTCTGAGAGCTATGGCTGGGGGCAGCGCCTGTCATTTTTGCAGGAAACAGGGCCATCACCAGGGAAGGCATAATCAGCATTACCCAAGCAGAACTTGTCTCCAAAACTTTAGAAAATTTCTCTTTTTTTTTTTTTTTTTTTTGGGTCTCTCAATTTCTTTTATGGGTCCTGGGGCGGCTTGCCAGCACAGCGAGCTGCTCACAACTCCCTGCAATTTCTGTAAGTGCCCTGTGATAAAGTGATGAGATTAACTCATCGAAATTCCAGCAGCCTCCCAGCGGCTGGCGGTCACACTGCCAGCCCGGCTGCCGGCAAGGGGGGCTCAGAGAGCGCTTCCCCTTCTCTGTGGCAGCTGGGGGTGCTGCAAGTCCCTGCAGAAGGGCACACATGCACAGGGGTTCACGTGGACGAGTCTGTACATGAGTATTAATTTGAGGCAAATCTCTATGTTGTGAACCATAGATTATGTGGTCCTGAGGAAAAGGGCAAAAGATAGGATAATCCAATGGATAAGGCCTTGCTCTGAACTGTCACTTATTAGAAGCGCTTTCCTTGCTTCAGACAATATTTATGTCTGTTCTGAAAAACCTGCTTGGATCTCACTGACGTCATTGCACAAGATTTACCTAAGAAGTGACTTAAAAAAACAAGAGACAGAGTAGCTGGTGAAAGATCAGGGTCTGGATTTGTTCTAAACCTTCATAAGTGGCCTTGGAGGGCAAATCGCTTCCTCTGTGTGTCTTAGTTTTCCTGCCTGCAAAATGAAATGAGCACCAAACCTACCTTCTACAGGGATCATGAGTCTTGATTCATTAAGGTCTAACTTCACTTTAAAGCCTTTAGATGAGAGATGCTAAGGAACAGCCAAGGACTATTAACATGACAGATCATGTTTTTTATGCTGAAGAGCTGCAAAATTACCCTATTTTCTGTAAAATGGAGACCTTTGGCTGCTAAATAGTTTGGAACATAATTTCCAGTGCACACATAATAGGAGCATCTGAAAACTGCACACCAGAGCTTGGTCATCCAGGAGACCCCACGTTCACCGTGAAAAGAGAAGAATGCCTCCCTGAGCTCAGGGAACACAGTAATGTCCCACACAGCTCCTGTTTATGTTACGAAGGGACCTCTTAGGGGAGATGAGCTCAGAATTTGTACTGCACTGAAAGCAGCACAAGCTGCTCCCCACTTACTCAAGGATCCTGTCCTTCTATAAATGCTTCTCAGGCTTATCCAAGGAAACTCAGGAAAGATCAGACAAAAGTAGCCAGGACACTCTTTAAAGCTAAAACCTTTTCAGCCTCTGTTTTCTGGAAAGGAACAAAATCCACCAACAAACCAATACCAAGAAACTCTTTCCTCTCTTTCTAGCTTCCTCATCTCTTTCCACCATTCTTTCCCTCTCCTCTCTTTTCTTTGCACTGCTTCATGCAGACCTCTCCTCTGTTTCTTTGAGTGACTCAAGAACAGGGCTAATGATTGAAGCTTTTCCCAGATTTCAAGGAAAAGCATGAATTTACGTATATCTGCCTATTAAGTGCCATATTCCATTCATTCAAGACAGAAAATCACCTCTTTCAGCCCTGTGATTTGACAAAGCACACTGTTGTTGTTGTGATCAGTGGTATGGTGCTGCTCCCTGCCTGTTCCCTGGGATTTGATGGCTGAGAGTAGGAATTCCCAGGAGAATCCATCTAATAGCCTTTTCAGCTCATATACTTGCTTCCCTTTATCCCATTTTTGTAACACTTGCTACACTCCCCCTCCCCCCTCTTTTTTCTTTTTTTTTCTTTTTTTTTTTTTTTTTACAAGAAATACTTACAAAATACTGTAGGATTAGGAAGCTCTCATCAGGCAGGCAGTGTGATACTGCCTCTGTGGTACAGCTGTTCTGCATGACTGGGACAGTCTGCAGGAGAAAGAGCTGACTTTTCAACAAGCCACTGGCTCTGATGACCTCTTCATTTCAGGGTCCAAAAAGCTTTTGTCCTAGATTCTTTTTATCCCCTATTCCAAAGATAAACTGGTCATTTGGGCATTCCACTAAAAAAGGACCAGAAAGGTTCCAAAGGCCAAAGGCCCTTGGTGAGCACAGACTGGCAGTACCTCTGCCTCACTAGGCACAAGTCATACCTCCTGCAGCAGACCAGTGGGTAACACGGGTAACACACACACGGGGAATCCTCTGTTATCTTCTGCATAAATTAGCCCTTCTAGTGAGGCATCACATAGCCTGAGTTCTGGTGTGAGGACAGGCATTTTGTAAAA